AGGCGTGTTCCCGAGCGGAGGCGTGTTTTAAGGTAGCATGAGACCTAGGCAGAAATAAGAGTGGGCGTGTACTAAGCAAAAGGGCGTGTCCACAGTGCCGCTCTGTGGGATTGTTCTGAGGAGGATTGTCCTTCCCGGGGAGCCGTACCGACCGCAGGAAGAGACAGAGGGCGGGGCCACCCGAGGAGAGAGGGCGGGGTTACCCCACCGGAGAGAGAGCTGGAGGCCGAGAGAGACCCCGGGGTAACTATTCCCTCCCCCCATATATACCCGCCCGGTGTATATATCCCCCCATGTATGTATTCACCCCCTTAGATATACCCCCCCCCGGTACGTATCCCCCCCGGGTGTATGTATTCACCCCTCCTTATATATACCCCCCAGTGTATGCATTCACCCCCCTTATATACCCCCCATGTATGTATTCACCCCCCCCTTATATAGCCCCTTCGTGTATGTATTCACCCCTCTTATATATATACCCCCCCTTATATATACCCCCCAGTGTATGCATTCACCCCCCTTATATACCCCCCATGTATGTATTCACCCCCCCCTTATATATACCCCCCATGTATGTATTCACCGCCCTTATATATACCCCCCCAGTGTATGCATTCACCCCTCCCTTATATTTACCCCCCATGTATGTATTCACCCCCCCCCTTATATAGCCCCTTCGTGTATGTATTCACCCCCCTTATATATACCCCCATGTATGTATTCACCCCCCTTATATATACCCCCATGTATGTATTCACCCCCCTTATATATACCCCCATGTATGTATTCACCCCCCCTTATATATACCCCCCATGTATGTATTCACCCCCCTTATATATATACCCCCATGTATGTATTCACCCCCCCCTTATATATACCCCCCATGTATGTATTCACCCCCCTTATATATACCCCCCTGTGTATGTATTCACCCCCCTTATATATACCCCCATGTATGTATTCACCCCCTTATATATACCCCCCCCCTGTATGTATTCACCCCCCCTTATATATACCCCCCATGTATGTATTCAATCCCCCATATATACTCCCCATGTATGTATACCCCCCCTTATATATACCCCCCATGTATGTATACCCCCCCTTATATATACCCCCCATGTATGTATTCACCCCCCCTTATATATACTCCCCTGTGTATGTATTCACCCCCCCCCCCTTATATATACCCCCCCTGTAATTCTAGCGGCACGCCCTGTGCTCTCCATGCTGTGCCGTCATGTGACTTGTCTCTGTTACATTGTATACATTCTCTGCATTCTCTATACTGGGGACCTGTCACCCGGGGCGGCCGCTCTCCTCTGCTGCTCACCTGCTGCATCTGACTTCAGAGTCCGCCATGACAGGTCCTCTTCATGGGCAGCTCAGAGGGAATGTGATATTGGGGACTACAAGTGCCAGCATGGTGTGCAGGAGACACTGGTGTTACTTCACAAGCTGGAAACTACCGTGCCGTGTGATGGGGGGTACATTGTGGGTGTGGGAGGACTCCCCTGTGTGCACCCCACTTCCTGCCTCTGCCCCCAGCCCCCTGTGTGCACCCCACTTCCTGCCTCTGCCCCCAGCCCCCTGTGTGCACCCCACTTCCTGCCTCTGCCCCCAGCCCCCTGTGTGCACCCCACTTCTTGCCTCTGCCCCCAGCCCCCTGTGTGCACCCCACTTCCTGCCTCTGCCCCCAGCCCCCTGTGTGCACCCCACTTCCTGCCTCTGCCCCCAGCCCCCTGCGTGCACCCCACTTCCTGCCTCTGCCCCCAGCCCCCTGTGTGCACCCCACTTCTTCCCTCTGCCCCCAGCCCCCTGTGTGCACCCCACTTCTTCCCTCTGCCCCCAGCCCCCTGTGTGCACCCCACTTCTTCCCTCTGCCCCCAGCCCCCTGTGTGCACCCCACTTCTTCCCTCTGCCCTCAGCCCCCTGTGTGCACCCCACTTCTTCCCTCTGCCCCCAGCCCCCTGTGTGCACCCCCACTTCTTCCCTCTGCCCCCAGCCCCCTGTGTGCACCCCACTTCTTCCCTCTGCCCCCAGCCCACTGTGTGCACCCCACTTCTTCCCTCTGCCCCCAGCCCCCTGTGTGCACCCCACTTCTTCCCTCTGCCCCCAGCCCCCTGTGTGCACCCCACTTCTTCCCTCTGCCCCCAGCCCCCTGTGTGCACCCCACTTCTTCCCTCTGCCCCCAGCCCCCTGTGTGCACCCCACTTCTTCCCTCTGCCCCCAGCCCCCTGTGTGCACCCCACTTCTTCCCTCTGCCCCCAGCCCCCTGTGTGCACCCCACTTCCTCCCTCTGCCCCCAGCCCCCTGTGTGCACCCCACTTCCTCCCTCTGCCCCCAGCCCCCTGTGTGCACCCCACTTCCTCCCTCTGCCCCCCAGCCCCCTGTGTGCACCCCACTTCCTCCCTCTGCCCCCAGCCCCCTGTGTGCACCCCACTTCCTCCCTCTGCCCCCAGCCCCCTGTGTGCACCCCACTTCCTCCCTCTGCCCCCAGCCCCCTGTGTGCACCCCACTTCCTCCCTCTGCCCCCAGCCCCCTGTGTGCACCCCACTTCCTCCCTCTGCCCCCAGCCCCCTGTGTGCACCCCACTTTCTGCCTCTTTCACCAGCCCCCTGTACTGTGTGTGTGCCCCACTTCCTGCCTCTGCCCCCAGCCCCCTGTGTGCACCCCACTTCCTGCCTCTGCCCCAGCCCCCTGTGTGCACCCCACTTCCTGCCTCTGCCCCAGCCCCCTGTGTGCACCCCACTTCCTGCCTCTGCCCCCAGCCCCCTGTGTGCACCCCACTTCCTCCCTCTGCCCCCAGCCCCCTGTGTGCACCCCACTTTCTGCCTCTTTCACCAGCCCCCTGTGTGCACCCCACTTTCTGCCTCTTTCACCAGCCCCCTGTACTGTGTGTGTGCCCCACTTCCTGCCTCTGCCCCCAGCCCCCTGTGTGCACCCCACTTCCTGCCTCTGCCCCAGCCCCCTGTGTGCACCCCACTTCCTGCCTCTGCCCCCAGCCCCCTGTGTGCACCCCACTTCCTCCCTCTGCCCCCAGCCCCCTGTGTGCATCCCACTTCCTCCCTCTGCCCCCAGCCCCCTGTGTGCACCCCACTTCCTCCCTCTGCCTCCCTCTGCCCCCAGCCCCCTGTGTGCACCCCACTTCCTCCCACTTCCTCCCTCTGCCCCCAGCCCCCTGTGTGCACCCCACTTCCTCCCTCTGCCCCCAGCCCCCTGTGTGCACCCCACTTCCTCCCTCTGCCCCCAGCCCCCAGCGTGCATCCCACTTCCTCCCTCTGCCCCCAGCCCCCTGTACCCTGTGTGCGCCCCACTTTCTGCTTCTGCTCCCAGCTTCCTGTACCGTGTGCACCTCACCTACTGCCTCTGCTCCCAGCCCCCTGTGCACCCCACTTCCTGCCTCTTTCACCAGCCCCCTGTACTGTGTGTGTGCCCCACTTCCTGCATCTGCCCCAATCCCCTGTACCCTGTGTACCCCACCTTTCTGCCCCCTGTACCCACCCCACTTCTTTCTTCAAGCAGCCACAGTTGGCTTTTTTCCGCCTCACTTCCTGCCCGTCCTACTTGTTGATGGTGTCAGCTGTGCATTGTATATAGTGACCCGTGCCGTACTCCTCTATCCCGTCTCCTGGGCGGTACCGCCGCAATCCCGGCTCTCCAACTCTGTGCCACTTGGAAATGGTGCAATGAAGGGTCGGGGGGGGAGGGGGGTGTCTGCACTGCATCGGAGGTGAACCCATATAATGTTTACGGTATAAAGTGATCCTGAACTGTACGATATGAAGTCATGATGGAGGAATGGAGCCGATCCTCCTCCTCCTCCTCCATTCACTCTGCCACCATTCTGCCTCACAGGGGAAGTCCAGCTCTTGCGGGCATTGCAAAAATACTTACCCTTCTTTATATATATATATACACTATATTGCCCCCAGTATTGGGCCGCCGGCCTTTTCACACACATGACCTTTAATGGCCCCCCAGTCTTAGTCCGTAGGGTTCAATATTGAGTTGGCCCCGCCCTTTGCACCTATAACAGCTTCAACTCTTCTGGGAAGGCCGTCCACAAGGTTTAGGAGGGTGTCTATGGGAAGGTTGGACCATTCTTCCAGAAGCACATTTGTCAGGTCAGGCACTGATGTCGGGGGAGGAGGCCTGGCTCACAGTCTCCGCTCTAATTCATCCCAAAGGTGTTCTATGGGGTTGAGGTCAGGACTCTGTGCAGGACAGTCAAGTTCCTCCACCCCAAACTGGCTCCTCCATGTCTTTATGGACCTTGCTTTGTGCACTGGTGTGCAGTCATGTTGGAACAGGAAGGGGCCATCCCCAAACTCCTCCCACAAAGTTGGGAGCATGAAATTGTCCAAAATGTCACCTTAAGAGTTCCCTTCACTGGAACTAGGGGGCCAAGCCCAACCCCTGAAAGACAGAGAAGCATGATTGGTCACTCCAGAGAACACGCCTCCGCTGCTCTAGAGTCCAGTGGCGGCGTGCTTTACACCACGGCATCCGACCCTTGCATTGCACTTGGTGATGGAAGGCTTGGATGCAGCTGCTCGGCCATGGAAACCCATTCCATGAAGCTCTCTACGCACTGTTGTTGGGCTCATCTGAGGGCCACACCAAGTTTGGAGGTCTTTAGCTATTGGCTCTGCAGACAGTTGGCGACTTCTGCGCACTGTGCGCTTCAGCATGCGCTGACCCCGCCCTGTCATGTGACATGGCCTACCACTTGGTGGCTGAGTGGCTGTTGTTCCCAGTTGCTTCCACTTTGTTATAATCCCACTAACAGTTGAGTGTGGAATATTTAGTAGCCAGGAAATGTCACGGATGGACTTATTGCCCAGGTGGCCACCTATCACGGGACCACGCTTGGAGTCACTGAGCTCCTGAGAGCGACCCATTCTTTCACCAATGTTTGTAGAAGCAGTCTGCATGCCTAGGGGCTTGATTGTATACACCTGTGTCCATGGAGGGGATTGGAACACCTGAATCACATGATATGGAGGGGATTGGAACACCTGAATCACATGATATGGAGGGGATTGGAACACCTGAATCACATGATATGGAGGGGATTGGAACACCTGAATCACATGATATGGAGGGGATTGGAACACCTGAATCACATGATATGGAGGGGATTGGAACACCTGAATCACATGATATGGAGGGGATTGGAACACCTGAATCACATGATATGGAGGGGATTGGAACACCTGAATCACATGATATGGAGGGGATTGGAACACCTGAATCACATGATATGGAGGGGATTGGAACACCTGAATCACATGATATGGAGGGGATAGGAACACCTGAATCACATGATATGGAGGGGATAGGAACACCTGAATCACATGATATGGAAGGGATAGGAACACCTGAATCACATGATATGGAGGGGATAGGAACACCTGAATCACATGATATGGGAGGGGATAGGAACACCTGAATCACATGATATGGAGGGGATAGGAACACCTGAATCACATGATATGGAGGGGATAGGAACACCTGAATCACATGATATGGAGGGGATAGGAACACCTGAATCACATGATATGGAGGGGATAGGAACACCTGAATCACATGATATGGAGGGGATAGGAACACCTGAATCACATGATATGGAGGGGATAGGAACACCTGAATCACCTGATATGGAGGGGATAGGAACACCTGAATCACATGATATGGAGGGGATAGGAACACCTGAATCACCTGATATGGAGGGGATAGGAACACCTGAATCACCTGATATGGAGGGGATTGGAACACCTGAATCACATGATATGGAGGGGATAGGAACACCTGAATCACATGATATGGAGGGGATAGGAACACCTGAATCACATGATATGGAGGGGATAGGAACACCTGAATCACATGATATGGAGGGGATAGGAACACCTGAATCACATGATATGGAGGGGATAGGAACACCTGAATCACATGATATGGAGGGGATAGGAACACCTGAATCACATGATATGGAGGGGATAGGAACACCTGAATCACATGATATGGAGGGGATAGGAACACCTGAATCACATGATATGGAGGGGATAGGAACACCTGAATCACCTGATATGGAGGGGATAGGAACACCTGAATCACCTGATATGGAGGGGATAGGAACACCTGAATCACCTGATATGGAGGGGATAGGAACACCTGAATCACCTGATATGGAGGGGATTGGAACACCTGAATCACCTGATATGGAGGGGATTGGAACACCTGAATCACCTGATATGGAGGGGATTGGAACACCGGAATCTAATTTACATTTTTTAAAAAAAATATCTTATCTGTGTATTTACAAAATGTGTGTTGAGTTAATTTACATGGAAGAATCCATTGATAGTTTTCTGCATTTCTGCCATTGTCTCTGCAGATGTCTTGTATATCGTCTGACAGCTGGAAATGTGAATGGGAACTATTATTATATGACCAGCACTTTGCCAGACAAGGCCGGGACTTGGCCGAGCTCTGCAGGCAGCAGTGATTGTAATAATTGAGGTTATATTTTGCGTTTTTTTTTGTTTTGGCTCATTTGTTGTGTCTTTAAATGAAAAATGCAGAGAGATAGAACTGATCGTTCCTCCGGGTATTGGCCTCGTGGTGGTCGGCTGTCACTCGCTGCTGCCTGTGATTTACCTTTTTGTTTCCTTTTGTTTTTATACCTATTTATTTCTTGGAGAGTTTTCCATGTCGGAATGTGTCTCTGCCCTTGTTTGTACTGGGGGTGGATATTGAGGACGGCCGTTCCATGCTATGATATGGGGACTACCCACCGGTGTCCCTGCGCCTACCCACCGGTGTCCCTGCGCCTACCCACCGGTGTCCCTGCGCCTACCGTAGACGTTTCCATAGGAAGAGTCCTCTTTTCTGCTGGAACTTCCTTCCTTCTCTCCAGGATTGAGGAGACCGTTTAATTAAAGCTGAAGTTTAGATATACATTTTATTACATACAGTTGTGCTCAAAAGTTTGCACCCCCCCCGGCAGAAAATTGTGAAATTTTGGCATTGACATTGAAAATCTGACTGATCTGCCAAAAAATACTCTTTTATTGAAGGATAGTGATGACATGAAGCCTTTTATTATCGCATGGCAGAAATCACCCCAAATGGCCCCGGATTGGAGGTCTCCTGCCCCCCCCTCCCCCCGGGATCGGGAGTCTCCTGCCCCCCCCCTCCCCCCGGGATCGGGAGTCTCCTGCCCCCCCTCCCCCCGGGATCGGGAGTCTCCTGCCCCCCCCCTCCCCCCGGGATCGGGAGTCTCCTGCCCCCCCCTCCCCCCCGGGATCGGGAGTCTCCTGCCCCCCCCTCCCCCCGGGATCGGGAGTCTCCTGCCCCCCCCTCCCCCCGGGATCGGGAGTCTCCTGCCCCCCCCCTCCCCCCGGGATCGGGAGTCTCCTGCCCCCCCCCTCCCCCCGGGATCGGGAGTCTCCTGCCCCCCCCTCCCCCCGGGATCGGGAGTCTCCTGCCCCCCCCTCCCCCCGGGATCGGGAGTCTCCTGCCCCCCCCCCCCCCGGGATCGGGAGTCTCCTGCCCCCCCCCCCCCCCCGGGATCGGGAGTCTCCTGCCCCCCCCCCCCCCCCCCCGGATCGGGAGTCTCCTGCCCCCCCCTCCCCCCGGGATCGGGAGTCTCCTGCCCCCCCCTCCCCCCCGGGATCGGGAGTCTCCTGCCTGCCCCCCCTCCCCCCGGGATCGGGAGTCTCCTGCCCCCCCCTCCCCCCGGGATCGGGAGTCCCTCCTGCCCCCCCCTCCCCCCGGGATCGGGAGTCTCCTGCCCCCCCCCTCCCCCCGGGATCGGGAGTCTCCTGCCCCCCCCCAGATCGGAAGTCTCTGCCCCCCCCCCCCAGATCGGAAGTCTCTGCCCCCTGGAATGTTTCGTCCTAGGCACAGACACACAAGGTGACACACACGGGTTACAATGCCAATTAGAGGTATATCTCCCACATCTGTGGCTTCCTACATCACAATCAGTGTCAGTGTATAAATATTCGATGAGTTTGTTAGCTCTCAGGATGCACTGACTAGGCTAGAGACTGAGCCATGGGGAGCAGAAAAGAACTGTCAAAAGTCCTGCGTAACAAGGTAATGGGACTTTATAAAGATGGAAGAGGATATAAAAAGATGTCCAAAGCCTTGAATATGCCGGTCATCACTTCCCCTAAGAAGTGGAAAGTTCGGGGATCTCTTGATACCAAGCCAAGGTCAGGTAGACCAAGAAAGATTGCAGCCACAACTGCCAGAAGAATTGTCCGGGATACAAAGGGAAACCCCACAGGTAACTACAAGAAAAAATCCAGGCTGCTCTGGAAAAAGACAGTGTGGATGTATTGAAGGAGCACAATATGATGACACTTGAACAAAAATTAGCTGCATGGTGGAGTTGCCAGAAAGAAGCTTTAACTGCACCAATGATACAAGAAGGCCCGGTGAGGCATGTCAAGGTGTTGTCAGGCATATACTAACCAGGCCTTTTTGTGTCATTGGTGCAGTAAAAACTTCTTTCTGGTAACTCCACCATGCAGCTCATTTTTGTTCAAGTGTCACCGTATTTTAATCCTTAAACAACCACACCATCTTTTTCCAGAGCAGCCTGGATTTTTTATTGTGGTTACCTGTGGGTTTCCCTTTTTATCACGGACAATTCTTCTGTCAGTTGTGGCTGCAATCTTTCTTGGTCTCCCTGACCTTGGCTTGGTATCAGAGATCCCCGAACTTTCCACTTCTTAATAGGTGATGTAACAGTTCTGATTGGCATATTCAAGGCTTTGTACATCTTTTTATGTCCTTTTCCATCTTTATAAAGTCCCATTACCTTGTTACGCAGGACTTTTGACAGTTCTTGTCTGCTCCCCATGGCTCAGTATCTCGCCCAGTCAGTGCATCCTGAGAGCTAACAAACTCACCGACTATTTATACACTGACACTGATTGTGATGTAGGAAGCCACAGATGTGAGACATTAACCTCTAATTGGCATTGTACCCCGTGTGTGTCTGTACCAAGGCCGAACCTTCCGGGGGGCGGAGATGTCCTGATCCAGGGGGCGGAGACTTGTGATCCGGGGGGGCTGGAGACTTGTGATCCGGGGGGGCTGGAGACTTGTGATCGGGGGGGGGGGGGCTGGAGACTTTTGATTGGGGGGGGGGGGCTGGAGACTTTTGATTGGGTGGGGGGCTGGAGACTTTTGATTGGGGGGGGGGCTGGAGACTTTTGATTGGGGGGGGGGCTGGAGACTTTTGATTGGGGGGGGGGCTGGAGACTTTTGATTGGGGGGGGGGGGCTGGAGACTTTTGATTGGGGGCTGGAGACTTTTGATTGGGGGCTGGAGACTTTTGATTGGGGGCTGGAGACTTTTGATTGGGGGCTGGAGACTTTTGATTTGGGGGCTGGAGACTTTTGATTGGGGGCTGGAGACTTTTGATTGGGGGGGGCTGGAGACTTTTGATTGGGGGGGGGCTGGAGACTTTTGATTGGGGGGGGCTGGAGACTTTTGATTGGGGGGGGGGGGCTGGAGACTTTTGATTGGGGGGGGGGCTGGAGACTTTTGATTGGGGGGGGGCTGGAGACTTTTGATTGGGGGGGGGGGCTGGAGACTTTTGATTGGGGGGGGGCTGGAGACTTTTGATTGGGGGGGGGCTGGAGACTTTTGATTGGGGGGGGGCTGGAGACTTTTGATTGGGGGGGGGCTGGAGACTTTTGATTGGGGGGGGGCTGGAGACTTTTGATTGGGGGGGGCTGGAGACTTTTTTGATTGGGGGCTGGAGACTTTTGATCGGGGGGGGGGCTGGAGACTTCCGATCTGGGAGGACGAATTTTCTGACTAGTGTGGTCAGTTGGGGATACTTGAGGGGCGAGGTTGGGAAGCTCAGGATTACATTGACAGAGATGATCTTCCATACCTAGCTATCCATGTCTGGGGGGGGGGGGTAAATATACAGAGACAGTCTGCTGATCTAAGATAAGGATTCAGACTTCACACTGGCCGGCTTTCTGTAGAATGTTGTAAATCACTCCTAGTGGATGCTGAAAAGTCAGTGTATGTACAGACCAAACTTATGAGGGGTCCCCACCATCCCTGTGCTGAGTTCCCGGGTCTGTACACCCGCTGTGCCCATTATGAGGGGTTCCCACCATCCCTGTGCTGAGTTCCCAGGTCTGTACACCCGCTGTGGTTGGATTGACCCTTCTGGAGTCCAGATTCGGGGGGGGGGGGGGGGGGGGGGGGGGGGGGGGGGGATTGCTCAATCTCTGTCCGGTTGCTGAGTTGCAGATTGTATGATGTGTTGCTCGTGCTCCCCGGGTGATTATCAGTTGGGTGTAGATGGTGGTGAATCATGTCCCCGGCACAGCCAGGTCCCGCAGTCCTCCCTTCCCATCCTGCACACAGCTGGACTAGCCGATCACATTCGGTATGTATCACGGGCCGAGCTCTTACCGCTCACATAACAGGAAACATGTAAGTAGGAGCCAAGAATGTCTGATAGGCACCCCCCCCCCCCTTCCACCAGGAAATCAAACGAGAGTACAGCGTGCGTCTGACCTTAACCCGGCCGGGGGGGGGGGGGGGAGGGGTCTGTTACATCACAGAACGATTGACCTAATATTTTACTATCCCCCTTCCCCCTCCCAACTGCACAACATGCCAAAGATTGTTGTTTTTTTTTGTTTTTTTTAAATTTACATGCACCGATGTCATCACTGGGTCTCTGTGCTTCTCTATGCAAAGCAGGCAGATCATGGCTGGTGGGAGGAGCTGTACATAGCTTCCTGAAAACATAACCATACCCGTCTCAAGAGCCCTCAGTCCTGGGTGAAAGCAGTGGGAGGAGTTATTCAAATATCAAAATGATGGGAGGAGTGGGGGCTCCTAGACAGGCTGCGTTTGGCGTAGGTAACGCCCATGTGTGATGCTGAGCCTCCGAGAGTGACAACGCAAATCCAGTGAATGAAAGGGGTGGGCCCTGGGAGGGGCGGGGTCAGTCAGGCTGGGGAGTTCAATGAAAAAAGATTATTGCAGACAAACATTTAAACCCCCCCCCCCCCCAAAAAAAAAAAAAAATTACCACCCCCTAACTCTGAACTGATGACCTGTAGGGGGGTTTTAAAACCCCTCGCCTGCTGGGCACTTCTACCCCCTTCCTGCCCCCCGGGCACTTCTACCCCCTTCCTGCCCCCCGGGCACTTCTACCCCCTTCCTGCCCCCCGGGCACTTCTACCCCCTTCCTGCCCCCCGGGCACTTCTACTAACCCCCTTCCTGCCCCCCGGCACTTCTAACCCCCTTCCTGCCCCCCCGGGCACTTCTATCCCCTTCCTGCCCCCCGGGCACTTCTCCCCTTCCTGCCCCCCGGGCACTTCTATCCCCTTCCTGCCCCCCGGGCACTTCTACCCCCTTCCTGCCCCCCGGGCACTTCTACCCCCTTCCTGCCCCCCGGGCACTTCTACCCCCTTCCTGCCCCCCGGGCACTTCTACCCCCTTCCTGCCCCCCCCCCCCCGGCACTTGTACCCCCTTCCTGCCCCCCCGGGCACTTGTACCCCTTCCTGCCCCCCCGGCACTTGTACCCCCCTTCCTGCCCCCCCGGGCACTTGTACCCCCTTCCCCCCCGGGCACTTGTACCCCGGGCACTTGTACCCCCTTCCTGCCCCCCGGGCACTTGTACCCCCTTCCTGCCCCCCGGGCACTTGTACCCCCTTCCTGCCCCCCGGGCACTTGTACCCCCTTCCTGCCCCCCACTTGTACCCCCTTCCTGCCCCCCGGGCACTTGTACCCCCCTTCCTGCCCCCCGGGCACTTGTACCCCCTTCCTGCCCCCGGGCACTTGTACCCCCTTCCTGCCCCCCGGGCACTTGTACCCCCTTCCTGCCCCCCGGGCACTTGTACCCCCTTCCTGCCCCCCGGGCACTTGTACCCCCTTCCTGCCCCCCGGGCACTTGTACCCCCCTTCCTGCCCCCCGGGCACTTGTACCCCCTTCCTGCCCCCCGGGCACTTGTACCCCCTTCCTGCCCCCCGGGCACTTGTACCCCCTTCCTGCCCCCCGGGCACTTGTACCCCCTTCCTGCCCCCCGGGCACTTGTACCCCCTTCCTGCCCCCCGGGCACTTGTACCCCCTTCCTGCCCCCCGGGCACTTGTACCCCCTTCCTGCCCCCCCGGCACTTGTACCCCCTTCCTGCCCCCCGGGCACTTGTACCCCCTTCCTGCCCCCCGGCACTTGTACCCCCTTCCTGCCCCCCGGGCACTTGTACCCCCTTCCTGCCCACCGGGCACTTGTACCCCCTTCCTGCACCACCGGGCACTTGCCCCCTTCCTGCCCACCGGGCACTTGTACCCCCTTCCTGCCTACCGGGCACTTGTACCCCCTTCCTGCCTACAGGGCACTTGTACCCCCCTTCCTGCCTACAGGGCACTTGTACCCCCTTCCTGCCTACAGGGCACTTGTACCCCCTTCCTGCCTACAGGGCACTTGTACCCCCTTCCTGCCTACAGGGCACTTGTACCCCCTTCCTGCCCCCTACAGGGCACTTGTACCCCCTTCCTGCCTACAGGGCACTTGTACCCCCCCTTCTGCCTACAGGGCACTTGTACCCCCTTCCTGCCTACAGGGCACTTGTACCCCCTTCCTGCCTACAGGGCACTTGTACCCCCTTCCTGCCTACAGGGCACTTGTACCCCCTTCCTGCCTACAGGTTGTACTTCCCTGCCTACAGGGCACCCTTTCCTGCCTACAGGGCACTTGTACCCCCTTCCTGCCTACAGGGCACTTGTACCCCCTTCCTGCCTACAGGGCACTTGTACCCCCTTCCTGCCTACAGGGCACTTGTACCCCCTTCCTGCCTACAGGGCACTTGTACCCCTTCCTGCCTACAGGGCACTTGTACCCCCTTCCTGCCTACAGGGCACTTGTACCCCCTTCCTGCCTACAGGGCACTTGTACCCCCCTTCCTGCCTACAGGGCACTTGTACCCCCTTCCTGCCTACAGGGCACTTGTACCCCCTTCCTGCCTACAGGGCACTTGTACCCCCTTCCTGCCTACAGGGCACTTGTACCCCCTTCCTGCCTACAGGGCACTTGTACCCCCCTTCCTGCCTACAGGGCACTTGTACCCCCTTCCTGCCTACAGGGCACTTGTACCCCCTTCCTGCCTACAGGGCACTTGTACCCCCTTCCTGCCTACAGGGCACTTGTACCCCCTTCCTGCCTACAGGGCACTTGTACCCCCTTCCTGCCTACAGGGCACTTGTACCCCCTTCCTGCCTACAGGGCACTTGTACCCCCTTCCTGCCTACAGGGCACTTCTACCCCCTTTCAGAGATCCTGGTACAAATAACCCCTCCTAATACAAATCCCCCCCCCCCGGCACAAATTCCTCCCCCCCTCCTGGTTCAACTCCCCCTTCTACTACAAATCCCCCTTTTCAGAGAACAACAAGAAAGGAGGAAAAGAAAAAGGGGAAAAAAAGGAAAGTGAAGTGGAATAAATGGAGAAACAGAGAAAAAGAATAATGATAAAAATAATTGTGAAAAACATTTTTTTATAAAGGAAAAATAGAATAACAAACAGAGATAAAAGTGAGTAAATATCCCAAGAAGATCTGGGCCAAAAAGCCACATTTGTAAATAATCAAAATATAAATATATACAATAAAACAACACGTCTACTGGGATATAAAATACAAAAATCACAAAAAATATATACATATTCAGACCGGAATATATCAAAACGGCAGAAAAAAAATTTGGTGCGCCCCGACATTAACTGTAGTGTAAAATCTTGCGTTTGGTAGCCGTTGCAGTGATATTGCGTGCCATAAAAAAATTCAATCTGACAGCATTTTATTCTCCAGGGTCTCCGCTTTCAGAAAATATGTTTGGGGGTTTTTAAACTAATTTTCAAGCCTAAAATATAAAAAAAAATAAATGACAAAAAAAAAGTCTCTAAAAGAGTAAAGGAAAAAAGTTGAGGGCCCCTTTTAACAACCAAAAAAAAAAAAAAAACCGCCCTTCACTCTCTCTGGTCTGTAGTGGCGGCGGATGAAATACGAGGCTGTATAAGCTGCTGCCTCCCTCTCAGGTTATATTTATTTTATGATGGATTAGTCGGGGATGCTTTGGGCTTTTTTTTTTTTAGAAACCGCCCTTGGGGTGAGGGGGGGGGCCCGGGACCTCCTGGTTGTCGTAGAATGACGGCTGCCTTGTGTCCAGACCCCCTGTCAGAGGGCACCGCGGCCTCCCCGGGTGACGCAGTTTGGGGAATGGAGGTCTTGTGAAATGTCCCGCCGAGCGATGAGAAAACGGGAAGGACGAGCCGGCCCAGAACCAGCCCAGAGCTCCACCGACACCCACCGGGAACTCTCCTCTCCTCATTATTTAGAGGGTTAAAGGAGAACTCTGGAAAACTTGTTACATTGTAACTTTTGTATTTCCTGTGGCGATAGAAGGGGGGGGGAGAGTGGGGGGCGCCCAATATCAATATGGTGACCTTTTTAAGTGTAAAACCTTTCCGTCTGCATTTTACTTCTTTCTTTCCTTCTCTTCTTTGCTCTCTTATTTGAGACCCGGTGATGTCATCACTGGGCCCCTATGCTTCTCTAGGAGCCATTTTCAGCTTGGGTCCTCTAGGGGTTCCTTGAGATGAGGCTGCATAAGGGGTGGGGGGGGGTTCTTTTTTTTTTTTTCCACAATCTCCCCAATTTAATTATTTTTAGTAAGGGTTCCCGTTAGATCGGGGAATGATTTAATTGGGTTCTTCCTAGGGTGGGAAGGATGAGGAAAGTCTGGTGGGGGGGGTCCCCTGTATGTGGGGGGGGGTCCCCTACATGTCCTAACCTCTGTGTGTCATATCTCCGTACAATATCCCGTCCTGCTGGTGTCCTTATCTTACATCCCGGTGTAGATGATTCTGGGCTCCGCCCTCTGCCAGTATATTGGGATTGATGCCGGAAACCAGCGGTTTGGTAATAATCAGATTGTCTGTAATATAGATGTTGTGTGCAGCCCAACCCCCACCTACCTCTGTATGGATCAGTGCATGCGTGCCCCCCCCCCCATGTGTAATCACTCTCCTTCACACCTTTATCTCATCTCACCTCCCCCCCCCCCCTTCTGTCCATCTTTCTTTTTTTCCTTCTCTCCTTCGCTCTCTTCTTTCTCTTCCTCTGCTCTCTCCTCATCATTCTTTTTTCTTTCTTCTCATTTTCCTTCTCTCATTCACTTCTTTTCGCATCTCATTCTTTTTTTTTTTTCCTTCACTCATGCATGCAAACTCGCGCTCGCCGTCTCGCTCGCTTTCTCTCTCTCTCACACTCTTTCTCGCTTTCATTTTCTTTCTCTTTTTCTTTCATTCTCTCTCATTCTTTTTCTTTTTTTTTTTTCACCTTCACGCATGCCGTGCAAACTACGCTAGCCTTTCCTCTCTCCCCCCCCCCCCCCCTCTCTTTCTCACTGTCTCTCATTTCTCTTTTATTTTCCTTCTCTCACTTTTGTCTTTCTCTTCTCCGCTTTATCCTTCTCTCTTTTACTCTTTCTCTTTCTTTCTTTCTTTTTTTTTCTCCTCACGTGTGAGAAAACTCCCTCTACTCTCTCTCCCCCCTCTCTCCCCCCCTCCCCTCTCTCTCCCCCCCTCTCTCTCTCTTCCCCCCTCTCTCTCTCTCTCCCCTCTCTCTCTCTCTCCCCCCCCTTCTCTCTCCCCCCCCTCTCTGTCTCCCCCCCTCTCTGTCTGTCTCCCCCCCTCTCTCTCTCCCCCCCCCTCTCTCCTCCATGCCCCTCTCTCTCATCACCCCCCCTCTTCTCTCTCTCCCCCCCTCTCTCTCCCCCCTCATCTCCCCCCCCTCTCTATCCTCCCCCCCCCCTCTCTCCACTCTCCCCCCCCCTCTCTCCCCCCCCCTCTCTCCCCCTCTCTCTCCCCCCCTCTCTCTCCCCCCTCTCTCTCTCTCCCCCCCTCTCTCTCACCCGTCAACCCACCTCTCTCTCTCCCCCCCCCCCTCCTCTCTCTCCAACCCTCTCTCTCTCCCCCCTCTCTCTCTCCTCCCCCCCTCTCTCTCTCTCCCCCTCCTCTCTCCCCCCCTCTCTCTCCCCCCTTTCTCTCTCTCTTTCCCCCCCCCTTTCGGTCTTATCGTCTCTTCCCCCCCCCCCTTTCTTTCTCTCTCCACCCCCTCCTTTTTCTCTCTCCCCCCCCCCCCTTTCTTTCTCTCTTCCCCCCCCCCTTTCTTTCTCTCTTCTCCCCCCACCCGACCCCCTTTCTTTCTCTCTTCCCCCCCCCCCCCCCCTTTCTTTCTCTCTTCCCCCCCCCCCTTTCTTTCTCCTCTTTCCCACCCCCCCCCTTTCTTTCTCTCTTGTCCCCCCCCCCCTTTCTTTCTCTCTCTTCCCCCCCCCCCTTTCTTCCTCTCTCCTTCCCCCCCCCCGTTTCTTTCTCTCTTCCCCCCCCCTTTCTTTCTCTCTTCCCCCCCCCCTGTTCTTTCTCTCTTCCCCCCCCTCCCTTTCTTTCTCTCTTCCCCCCCCCCCATTTCTTTCTCTCTTCCCCCCCCCCTTTCTTTCTCTCTTCCCTCTTCCCACGTTAACCCCCCCCCTTTCTTTCTCTCCTTCCCCCCCCCTTTCTTTCTCTCTCTTCCCCCCCCCCTTCTTTCTCTCTTCCCCTCCCCCCCCCTTTTCTTTCTCTCTTCCCCCCCCCCCCCTTTCTCTCTCTCTCCCCCCCCCCCCCTTTCTTTCTCTCTTCCCCCCCCCCACCCTTTCTTTCTCCTCTTACCCCCCCTTTCTTTATCTCCTCTTCCCCCCCCTTTCTTTCTCTCTACCCCCCCCCTTTCTTTCTCTCTTCCACCCCCCTTTCTTTCTCTCGCTTCCCTCTCCCTCTCTTCTCTCTCCCTCCACCCCTTTCTTTCTCTCTTTTCCCTCTCCCCCTTCTCTCTCTCTCTCCCCCCTCCTCTCTCTCTCTCCCCCCTCTATCCCCATTTCCTTATCACACGTTACCTAATGAAGAAGCTTTATTGTCAGATTGAGGAGTGAGGAGATGTACGTGGCGTACAGAGAGAACTTAATGTTTATAGAGCTTGTTACATGGAATTGATTCCTGTACTAATATGGTGTGAGAGAATAGAGTGACCATACACTGTACAATCAGATGGGATATAATCTCCTTTAGATCTGTCTGCCTGATTTGATAGAAATGCAATTTAATTGTTTGTTTTTTGTTTTTTTTCACGTTACGAAGCCATCGTAAGTCATAAGTAGATTGCACAATCGGATTGTATAAGTGATTGGCCAGCTTGTGGGATATATAAATTTGGGGTCTCTCTCGTAACTCTCTCTCTGACACAATCCCAGCTACGCTCGCCAGGAAGCCTGATTGTTTATAATTCCATTCATTTGTATGTGTAGAAAGTCATTTTTCTCTGCAGCCATGTGGCGCGGTGCCAGGAGCGGGTGAAGCTCGCAGAGGCTGTGTCTGCCCAGCCTGGCTCCAGTATGAATGAGGACGAGTCACGAGAGCGGCTCCTGGAGGGGTAAGACCTGACGCCCATCCGCGGCATTTCACCGCCGAGCGTGACAGTTCCACCACCCCGACCTCAGAAGACATTTCTACCTTCTCTCTCTGGAATGGCAAAATAATTTCAAACCTTCGAATCTTGTGTTTTTTTTTTTTTTTTTTTTTCTGCTCGGGGCTGAGTAATTTCTATGTAATGTGACTTTTTTGGGAGCGAATTTCACGGGGGGGGGGGTGCCTTTTATTAAAATTGCAACTTAATAAGAGATTTGTTTTAAGGATTCCGATGATTGGGGACTACAAATCCCAGTTTAGATTGAAGAGCTCCTGGCTGGTGAGGCATGATGAGATTTGTAGTTCCCCCACAGCTGGACGGTAGAGGCCCGCAGTGCTGGTTCTGATCTGCTCAGTCTTCTGGCTGAAGCTTTCTATGAACAGCCTCTAAATGGTGGCAGATATTTTTTTGGCTGTGTTTGGGGAAGTGCTGGCCTTTGTTCCTGTTTCCTATTCTGCTTTTCTGTAAAGGTCTGACCTCCCTTTGTGGCTTTGCTGCACTCTGGGAAAGGCTAATTCTCGATAAATTATTCTTTGTGGTTTGGGGGGATGTAGTTATTACTATATTTCTTGATCTAACGTCTCAGTTTTTTTGGGGGGCACCAAGATCACTTAGATACATTCGTAGAAACATAAATGTGGAAGAGTGACGGCTGAAAAAGACCAAATGGTCCCATCAAAACTGATTTCCTTTTGTATTTGTTTTTTTTTTTTTTTTTTTTATTTTCATTTTGTTGCTTTTTAACTTTGAGTACAAATCCTTCAGATCCC